GTTGTTGTTGTGTTTCAACCGGGCATTTCCGGTTGACTCACTTGAGTCACAATTCAAATGGTCGGGTCTTCGCAGAACCGTAAAGAAACAAGAAGGCGGAGATCCGCAGCTATTTATGGCTTCTTTTTTTTTTTGCAGATGGCCGTGGGGGTTCTAGGTCCCCCAGCTAGGTGCCCTTTGACCGTTTCTTGTTTTGGGGTCAAGTTCCCCTGCTAAAATAGACTACAGAAAACTGGTGGTAGCCTAATTCCAACCTCTCTACTGGAGGAGCAAAGGGTGCAACTGGAAATCTCCGCTTGACTCACTTGCCCAACATTGATTTGACCTTTTGGTTTCCCGTGTTAACCCCCTTTTTTGGTCAAGGTTCCCTGTCAAGTTGCAGCTTTCGGGGTTCCCGGGCTGGACAAATTGGTTGGGAAGGCCATGGTGACAAAAGGGACAACCCCTCCAAACATAGAACCTCAGGGTTCATGGATCATCCTTTGTCTAAAGGGATGTAGGTTCTTATGTTTGTTTTTGGGAGGGTAGACTTTGGGTGGCCAATCCACTCGAAAAGTGCGAATGCCAGTTTTGTCACAGGTTTGGCACAGGGACCGGAGGGGGGGCGGTCATGTCTGGTCATAATTGGTGGGTTCGCGACGAGGGAATCAACCTCATAACAGGTTCCTTTTTCTGCCTAAGCCAGTTCCATTTACCCACCAGCCGACCAAGGGAGCCACCCTTACCGAAAACCTACCCCACCCCCAGTGGTTGCAGGGCCCAAATTGGCCTTCGCTGGGGTCACTGAACACACCATGGCCGTTGGAGCGTTTTGGCTTTCCCCATTGCAAAGTGCTACAGAGAAAAACTGAATATGTGGTTACCTCAAAAAAAAACAACTAAACCCACTTGGGTTTCCTCCAAAATGGTCACCTGAGACTTGGGGCGGCCGCGCATCTGACAGCCGACGGAGCCGACGGGTTTGCGCCAGGATCGGCGTGTGAGCGTCTCGGATTGCGAGACCTTCGACTGGCTGGAGAATCTCATGAAGGCGAGGAATGGGAAGGACCAGTTGTCATGTATGGAGTCCCCTGGATGAGGGGGTGGTCCAAGGTAGGGGGGGTTCCCCAAGGCTTCCTAAACAACCCTAAGGAAACCTGGAAGAGGAGGAGGCATGAGGAACGGGAAGGACCGGGGAAGCTTCCATTTTTCCCCATTCTTTCCAGGGATCCGAACCTATTTTCAGGAAAACATCAGAACCCCAGGTTGGAAACAGCGATCGGTGTGGGGGATCAAGCCGAGAAGGAGCAGTGAGATCTATGGAGACCCTGTGGTTTAAGGGGCCTAGGGATCTAAGGGGGGGGCTTGGACCCAAACCAAACCTGATCTCAACTACCCCAAACCCTAAACCCAAGAACAGGACTCCCTACGGACCCGAAGGACTAACCAAACCTTGGGATCTCAACTTTTCCCCTTGTACCCCCGTAAGAGACCCCATTTGCAAATGGATGTGTCAATTCAAAGAGAGCCACATGTGCAAATGGATGTTATGGAAACTGGTCAGAGACACTTGCCACATGTTCAGAGAACCTTCTACTTCTGTATGTTTGTTGGTACCATTTTTGGGTTGATGTCATCACTTCCCGAGTTGCACTGGAATCTTTTTGGCAAGACCGTGGTGGTAAACAAGAAGTTAAAGCGAGATCCCGATTTTTTGAGCCCTCCTTCAGTGGAGACTATGATATTACTGGGTTACAACCCAGGCGGCCTTTTCCACTTACTGAAACTGGTCCGAAACACAGAGCCCTCCTGGGTTCGCTTCATTCGGGTGGCTCCCTTTTGGAGGCCACCTTTCTGGGCCTGGTTTTAAAGGGACGCCAAAGGGAAAAGCCATTTGGGGCGGGTACCCTATTCCAACGCAGACCGATGTCTTGATCCGGGTGAGTTATGAGTCGCCCGAGTTGATGCGAGTTCCCCCAAAGGCGGCCAAGACTGGATGGAGTCAACCGGGCGGGCGGGGGGGGGGGGGGAAGGTCGTCTCGCACTTTCAAGACCTTGCTTCTTTGACTGGGCACCTCAAAAGACTTCTCGCGGATCTGGATATGGGGAAGGTGCATTGTCATCCAATTTGTTAGGCCCTTTGGACCATTCTTTGCAGGGGGCCAAGGATTCCTAGGGCCTGGGCTTGGTCGACCCATGCTCACGTCGTTCACTCGTAGCGATGGGCTACCCCGCGGTCCAGGGGAAGAACCTGCCCCCCCCCCCCCAACACAGGGAAGGGCGTTTAGAACCAAAAGCAAGACGCGGGTCGCGATCGAAGGGTTCGAATTGATCCTTTGTGGTGGGTGCGCCTCAAAGTAGGGGGAGCCTCAAAATTGGTGGTTCTGCTTTCGTTCCCCTACCTTTGCTCACCCACCGTTAAAAGGGTACCGAGCCTGAAAACAACTCACTATACGAGTGTGTACTTGGATGTTCTGTCAAGAGTAAGTGGGCCACCCCAATTAATTAGATCTCGCCAAACTCAAGGCTAACCCTCAGTAGCCGATAGCGGGGTTATAACTTAGGTTGCTAACAACTTGCTAACTTGGCAACGAGCATCCAACTATCGTGGCCTTTCAAAAGGGATGCTAAAAGCACCCCTACTTTTGACAGACTCCCAAGTTAGTGAGTGGTGAACTTAGGCTGCTGATACCTTACTAACTTGGAAACGAACACTCAAGTAGTCCTGATCGAACTGGGTATTTGGGTGTTCGGCTGCTGACAACTTACTAACTTGGAAACAAACATCCAAGTACCATGGCCTTTTAATAGGGATGCCAACAACGACCCCTACTTTTGACAGACTCCCAGCGGGTTTCAATGCAAAACGAACACCTAGAGTCTCATGACCCTTTAAAAATGGGGTCCTTGCCAAAAAATATGGGGTCATGACCCCTTTTCTTGGGGGCCATGGAGACTCCAGGCAAAGTCAGGGGCCTCTCACTCGAGCCTCCGAACTCCGCCAGCCTAAGGACAAGGCCACGCGCATGGGCGAGGAGTTCGTGGCATGGGCGAACCCCTTTACCTCGGAGACGCTGCGAAGCCGCCGCGGTTTTCGGTTTTTCTCTCTTCGGAGCCGAGGCCTTTGGTCCGTTTTGCTTGGAGGGCATCTTGACTGCTATTGGGGTTTTCCAGTAACCCCCCCAAAAAAAAAGAACTTTTTGCAGGGGGGTCCACAGCAACCAAGGTATTTGTTTAACCAAAGCGAACACTGTGTGTTTTAAATAGAATCTACGTATTGCTACTGGAAATATTGAAGCGCTTTTCCAGGGCGCTGAAGCAAATAGAGGTTGGTGTCAGTGTTGACCTCTGAGTTGTGGCTCAGGGGTGGTCCCTTTTAATGGGCATAGCTTTCTTCTAGGCCTTGAGTAGTAGCTGGGCATTACTCTCCACTCAGTTCCCAACGCCCGACGGGTTCAAGTTAGACCTGATGGTCCTCCTTCATTTCAGGCAGAGGACCCCATGTTTCAGAGGCGACTCCAGGTACCCTTGACCTTGGATATGTCTTTCCGGGGTCCCCCAAGAAGGGCTTGGCTGTGTCTTAAATATAGGCGACCCCCCGAAAAATGGTGGGTGTTGCCGTTGGTTTGTACCTTGGCGGTTCCCAGTACCCATAGACTTTTCAATATTTTGCGTTTAGACGGATGCCCCAAAAGACTCGCCTTCTACTCTTGGCTCTCGTGGGCAACGCGGCTCATCCAAGAAGTCCAACTTTCAGGGGTGCAATGAACCACTAAGCATGGCGATTCGTAAACGTGTTGCCGAATCGCCAAGTTGGACTTCTCGGGTTTACTAAACAAGCGACGTCCAAAGCCTCCGTGTACATGTTTGGCAAGAGTCGTGTAAAAAAGGCAGTGGGTCAAAAATAGGTACCCAAAATTGAACCCTGGTAAATGGAAGCATGGGCTACAACCTGCGGTTTTCTGGTGGTTTCATTTTGACCCATACCCATATTGACCTGTGAACTCAACTGGCTTTTCCATTCAACGACAGGTCATCGACTCCTTCCCGGTGAAAAACGAGCAACAGAGCCCGGGTTCCATCCCTTGTGGATGGACGCAATCCAATTCGCACCACTTTGAAACCGTTGGACATTGTTGTTGGTTGGCATTGGTAGGGGGAATCGAATCATTCCAGAGTTACTTCGGTGGTGCAGGATTTCGTCCATCCACAGCATGGGCTATGGATCACGGCCAGCGCTGTGCTTCGATTCGGGTCCCACCAAGCCACGGGCCTTCCCTTTAAACCAAGCCCCAAACAGGTACCAGCAAAAGACACACTCAACTGGGGGTTTTGAGCCACTTGTTACCGCCTTCATTAGCAAGTTGTTGGTAGCCTGGGCTACAACCACTTATAAGTCTCCCCAAGTAGTCTTAACTTTGTTATTGACGGGCTATCACCCAAGGGGCAACCTCAGGGCTGACTAACTTGGCCCAGCATCCAAGTAGTCCTGGTCCAACTGGGCATGTGGGTGTTCGGCCAAGTAAGTTGTTCTCACCGGGCTTTGAACCGGTGTCTGTGTTTCACTGGAAGTCTCCAATTTTCAGGTATCCCCTAGTTGGTGGATTGGATTGGTGATTTAAGGATTTGAACCCTGGCTTGTTCAAGGGTAAATGGGAAGCTGCCCGACCAATCCAAATCAATACTCGAACAGTAGATACCCGCAAAATTATGCAAGGTGAATGTCGGGCAATACTGGCAAACAACTGGTGTTTTCCACGGAAGTCCCTAGTTGGATTGAACCTGTAAGCAGCTTTGTTTTCTCTAGGGGTTGTTTCCTCATTATTTTCAAGTTCTTTTCGATAACCGGATCCGTTTTCCTTGGGTTTCTCGAGGTTGTCTAGAAAGAAGGATCCCTGGAAAGAAGTCGTGTCTCGCCAGGCAGGATCCCGAGTTCTGCCTGCCCGAGGATCTCTGGGTTAACACCAGCTGTGAGGACTCTCGATGGCATCGATGGGGTTGAGTCGTTGGTTCGGAGATCTCCGGCCGCAAAAACTGGTTGTCTTCCATTCCGAGAGGGTCCAAGCACGTTCTAAGGAGGTACTGAATGACCCTTTTTACCCACCAAAAGCCATCCTCATAAGGTATACCAAGGGACCCTCTGGGATTTGCTTCAGAATATGTGTGGTCACATTTGACTACACATGGCGCTAGTTTCCCATCATTTGGTGCCATGAAATTTCCACAAGACGCCTAGGGCATGTGCAGCTGCAGCTTTGGGGTCTCCTCCAAAACGATGTTTGGGTTGACGAAATATGGAATCAGAACAAAGGGCTGTGGGTCAAGAATAGGTACCCAAAATGGAACCCTGGTAAATGGAACCATGGACCAAAACCTGCGGTTTCCTGGTGGTTTAATTTTGACCCCTACCTATATGTTTTCTGAAGTGCCTCTGGTCAAGTTGAACCCACTCTCTGAGTTTCTGGACCCGGGAAAGGTGAGAAGGTCAGGCTTGGGGCCAGGTGAGAAGTAGTCAGTTTTTCAGAGGCCCTTGGTACCTGAGGAAGTATGTTGCACCTTTGGTAGCATACAAGTACATCCGAAAGGTAAGGGGAACACCGGAGAAAGAAAGCCATCCTAGCTCAAAAAGCGATCGACTTCCCACTGAAAGGGGCCCTCCCCCATCAATCAGTCAGGGGTTGATTAATATGGGGTTGTACGGCCTTCAGTCATCAATGGGTTTTGCGGCGAGATACCGAGCCGGAGTTCACACCGCCCTATGTGATTTCCAATTTAGGCGTGTCTTGTTTTCAGGAGTACCCTTTTTTGTGTTTTGAAGGGAAACCAAGAGGCGAAAATCAAAGCCATTTGGGGGAGGTTCCCCCGTTTTCCTCTCTTAAGCCCAGAACAAATCGATCTTTTGACCTTTTTGGCAACCATTTTTAGTGGCCCCAACAGGTTCACCTTTCAGCCTGGGTCCTCTGGGCAACTGAGTATTTCTTTGATTGATATTGATGTTGCCCTGTGCAAAAGGTAACTGGTCACGACCATTTTGTGAAGGTGGTGCCTTTAGCAAAGTGAAGACAGGACTTTGCCATTTGAGCAGCTTACCCTTCCTCCCAATTGGAAGAGGGCCCCTACTCCATCTGCGTCTACCTGTTCTCGCAGTGCCCTGCTCGTTAGGCCAGTTCCTTTTTGAGTCAGTCTCAGTTGGTCTCATGGGCCGACTCCAAAGCTTGGTGTGGAAAGGTTCATTTCCCCTTGACTCTAGGGGTACCTCCCATTTCCATTCTGAACCCAGGGATCCGAATCTTTCTAGAAGGCCTCCAGAAACCCAGGTTGAAAGCGGATCCAGTTTCTGAGAAAAGAACGATGGTTGAGAAGAATGGAAAAGGAAAGTCATCCCCTAGATTTGCATCAGCCCCTTGTTGGGTCCCAACCAAAAATACCCGAGGCACACTTTCTTTTCACGGGGTTTGAGCCTTGGGGCTGCGTATCGAGTCCTGTGGGGCGAAGTCATGGGGTTTTTCAGCTCACCTCGGCTCAGATCTTCGGACATGGGCTCCTTGCCTCTGGGGTTTCTGCGCGGGAAGGTAAAGCCGAAAGGACGCCAATGAAACAAAAGGACGCCAAACAAAGCTAAAGGAAGCTAAAGGAAGCTCAAGGAAGCAAATTGGAGGCGGGAAACAAAAGGAGGCCAAGGGAGGGAAGCTCAAGGAAGCTAAAGGAACCCTGTTCTCCTTCTGGGTTTCCTTCGAGCAGAAAGCTGCTCATCCTCATCCGACAGGTTCGACTTCGGTTCGAAGTAAAGGCCATACCGAACATGAAGATGCGAGCAACACTTAACTGTGGTTGGATCTTTCAATTAGATAAATAGTAATACTTCAGGTATTATTGGTAGTGGATTGAATTCCACCCGTGTATCTAAAATCCAAGAGTTTAGTCCTTTGTTGGTTTGTTGATTCTGCTCATATTTGTTAGTATGCTGCAAAAAAACACATTTGTGTTGCAAGCCCATACCAAGGGTTGCAAAAAACAAACTAAACATTTTTTACAGGGGGGTCAGGTTGAAAGGAAACCAGCAAGAAGTTGTCTAAAGACTGGTTGGAACCATGGAAGGCCACACAGGTCTACCTTGCGCCCTCAAGAACTCTCAAACTGAGATGGGTGTTTCTATAGGTACAAGGTCCCCTATTGGGTTCGGGGTCTTCGGCGAATCCAGATTTGTCCGGGGCCGTAAACCAAAAAAAGGTTGATTGGCATAAATTGGACTCCCCTGGAAAAGATGTCCCCGCGAATTCTCAACTGCTTTCCTGCGGTCTTAATTGAGGACCCACTTTGTCCCGACTCATAACGGCGAAATGCAAGGTGACTAGGGAAAAACGCGGCGTTCGCCCTCATCCTGTTAGTCAAGGCCATCCAATTCCAGAGGGGTTAGTTAACCCTTATTTTTATACACCAAATTCAGTATAAAAAGGGTGTGGCTCAAAATTAAAGAGCTAGGGTTACGCAGGTCTTCGTCTTTGGCTCCATTTCCCAAGGTGCCATTCTGGTACATGTTTTTGAGCCACAGCCAAAAGTGAAATCCAGTTCCAGGTAAAATCAACAGACAGTTCTTTACCATTTTTGGCCAGACTCTCAAGGCAAGTCGCCTCAGGAGATCGAGACACTTCGCACATCGCATCAAGACCAGTACCGTGTGGCCTGCAACCGGGAGACCCGGCCAAAAAAAAACACGCCGGTCGAAACAGCCGGAAAAAGCGGGCCGTTGGTTTGGTCGAGGAAGGCAAACTGATGATTTTAGGCAACCTCTAGTTGGGTGAGTGGTTGTAGGTTTGTTTGGGCGACCCCTAGTTGGGTGAGTGGTTGTAGGTTTGTTTGGGCGACCCCTAGTTGGGTGAGTGGTTGTAGGTTTGTTTGGGCGACCCCTAGTTGGGTGAGTGGTTGTAGGTTTGTTTGGGCGACCCCTAGTTGGGTGAGTGGTTGTAGGTTTGTTTGGGCGACCCCTAGTTGGGTGAGTGGTTGTTTTTTGGGAATCAGACCCGCCAAATTGGGAGGGTGTTCCTTTCGCTTTAAGACCAACCCAACAGGGGTACCTCCCAAGAAACCATACCCAATTCGTGGCTTGTGAATTCGCGGCATTTCATATGATATAGGCATGGATGTCCAAACTTCTATCCTCCGAGAGCGGAGGGATTTCGGGGCGCGATCTCCCGGCTTTCTCATGGCTGCAACAGCTTGAAATTGACGAGGCCATTTAGCACGAACGACTCAGAGGTTTCTCCTTCGACCTGGCAAAAGCGTTCAACATGCCGCGTTTTTGCCGCTTTGAAAGCTCATGATCAAGATGGAATGTCGAGATGCAGTTTACTTGATCGGCTGCAATGTCGTTTTCAAGGGCGTCTTGGGCCCAAAGCTGCCTTATGGGGTGCCAGAAGGTGGATTGGTGGGAACTGCGAGCTGCAGGCTTGAACCCCTGGGTTCTTGTACAGGGTAAAGCGGCAAGCTCCTCTACGCACATGGCTGTGATTTCTAATACTGAACCTGAATCCCAACCTAAATCATGTCCACCAAAGCGTTCCCACATGAAATTCATGCCCTGAGGGGTGTCTCAAAATAGGGAACCCCTTTTGGATGGTTTTACCAGGAAACCACCAGGAAACCCAATTTTGAGACACACCCATATGCGTACGTTGCTTCCTGGGTCAAATCAGCTTAACCAGGAGCTGTTCGCCTCCAGCGAGATGCGGTACACCGTCAACATGCCACTGAGCCTTGCCGTGGATTCAGAATTGACATTGGACGCGTTCGAAAGCGGGAACGGGAACTCTGGGTACATAGCTGTGGCACGATTCTTTTTACCAGCGGCCTCGGTTGGATGTCCGGACAATCGCCGCCAAAGGAAACCGAAGGGGGCAAGTTGCTTTTCCTTTGTCCTGCACACGATATTTAAGACCCCGAGTGGGATTTGAGGCCAACCTGATAACCTTAAGGGTCCACAGCGTAAACGTAATGTTCGAGCACCGTGAGTAACCCCATTCTAATTCTCCAGGCCCTTTCAGTACCCTAGAACAACAACCGTAAAGTACAACCCCTGGGCGTTCCTTTCGTTTCCCGGTAAGCAACCACAAAACAGGTACCCTGAAAAAGAGACAGCTCCACATGTGTGTGGGTGTGTGTCTTCTTCCAGGGGACCCCCTAAATTGATTGTTTTCCTTTGGGTTTCCTCCAAAGCGGGGGTATCCTCCAACAGCGACACACCCATACTTGAGTGTTGCCAAGTCAGTGGTTGTCATCAGCCCCCGAAGCGGGGTTGACCTTGTTTTTGCTGAATTGTAACCCCGGTGGCTATCCACTTGCTACTTCAAGGTGCATTGTGCTTAGTAAGTGCCTAGGTAAGCCTGGTTACAACCCACTTTCCATGGTCGCAAGTCTATGTTCAGTGGGCTAGAACCAAGCAAAGCCAACCGCTTACCTGACGTACCGAATCGATCGCCCCTTTAAGTAGCTGGGCGAAGCGAAGCTCCAAGTCGCCACTTCTGAGGAACGACAAGTGGATCCAGGCGGAGAACCGACGGGAGGGCTCCATCTATAAGCCGGAATGGATGCTGGACACCTTGACCAGCCACCGGGCTGGAAAAAGGGAGAGGATGCGGCTAAAATCATTCGGTCGGCGGTTTCTTTGGGGAAGCCGGAAACTGCTGGTGTCTCTTGAGCCTAGCACTGAGGTGTTGGCGTTGCAGGACATGTTTTTGTTTTTTCCCATGTGGGTCAAGTTGGAATCTATCATTTTTCCCAGACGAAACAGACAAGAAGGCTGGCTGTAGCTGTTGGTTGGTTTAGTTCCGCCGAAGATCCTGAAGGAAGCTACCAGGAGTTCTTGCCAAAAACATGGGCGTGAAGAAAGCGAACCAGAGGGAAGACCACAACATTTGTTTTGGGGGGGGGGGTCCCCCGATTTTGACACATCAATGATAATTTATGTCATGTTGGCTGCTGGTGGGTTAGATCTTTTTTTAGCCTTTAACTTTGGTTGGATTGGTTTGTGCTTCCCTTCAATCTTTCAGTGGGGCGCTACCCATAGTTGTCAAACCAAAGCTGGATGTACCCTTTTTCTCTTGTTTTGGTGGGGAGACGGGTTCTGACTAAAACTGCTCAATTTCAAAAACTGTTGCCTTTGCCTTTTTCTATTGATCCGATGCATTAACATCCAAGTGTTGGTTCCGAACAAAGTGGTTTTCTGTTTTTCAGGACCCTTTGGGGGATTCCATCTTGCTGGGAGGAGCGTAGTCGTAGTTGTTTTTTGTCCTGTTTGGCACCTTCTTGGAGTCATGGTTCCAACAAGTTTCGGGCAAAGAAAGAGCGGGGACTAGATAAGGAAACAAGACCCATACTCGCTTCCTGCCAGTCCGTGCTTGTTGGTTAACATGGGTGCCTGACGAGCAGCAGACCCATACCCGGAATAATGGCCTGAGACGACGTTCAGATCTGAGTAGTATGTGGCAAGATAGGACGCCCCCGGTAAATGGTGTTTTGTTTGTGTGTCTTGGTTTCCCTTTAAGCCAAGGTGAAAAGGTTTCCCTGAAGCGCACACACACACACATTCACGCACAATATGAGTTGATTTTTCGCTGTACTGGTTTTCCAAACACCTCCGGTTGCTCACCGGTGTATGAGAAAATCAAGGCTTCCTATGTGGGTTTGTCTCTTAGGCTGCCCTGTTTGGGGTTGGGTGAAAGCGGGGGCAAAAGGAAAGCCAACATTTTGGCGGGTCCCCATTTTGAGACCCCAAGGCAAGACTCATACAACCTGTATGTTGGATTTGCAACATAAATTCAAACTTAGCTGTGTGTAGCTTTGCTGGTCAGGTATGTCTCACTTTCGTGGTGCTTCTAAAACATCACCTTTGGGTTCCACTCAACCGTCCCCATATCGAGACAAACCCATGTCTTCCTTTTGTGGTGCAACCAGAGTCCTAAAGCGTAGAAAAAAACATGTAGGATGGTGCCGGGGAAGCAAGAGAGTTCAATTGTGCAAATCACCGTTTGGTGCTCTTACATTGACTTAAGAATCCCCTTCTGCAAGAATATGTGTTGTTTTCCCTTGTTGCTTTTAATGGGGATCTGCCGCCACTGCAAATATAATGTTTTTTTTTGCAGAAAACTTCAGCAAATGTGCAAATTGCACCTTTTGGTGGTTGGACTTGTTTGGGCCAATCCGGGCATGTGAAGTGAGGCTTCTTCTTTACCTGGGACAAGACTGCCGAGGACCGCCGTTGTCGCAGATGTGGCTCCCATTGTGCGCTGAATTCACGGGGCTCAACTTTGTAATGTTGACCTCAGATTAGTCAACCCCTGTTCAATCATATGGGGTGTCGCTGAACTTAGTGGGATTCATCAATAGGGGAACACCCCCATATTAATAAACAGGGGTTGATTAATTTGGGTTCAACATTATATACCCTAAGCTGGGTAAGATGGATGCCCTAAATATTGCAAGCAAAGCCAACAACGGTGTTGTGTTTGAGCCTGGTTGGTTGACTTGCAATATTCAGGGCATCCACCGCACGCCCACCGTACCCCTACGCATGGAAACAGAGATCCAAGTTCCTCATTTGTGTTTCAAGATTATAGCAATCGTATTTGAGACGGGGTCAAAACGATCATGAGGCAGATTGCATTGAACACCTCATGTTTGCAGTCCCTGCTGCAATTCCTGTTCCATGTGATCGGGGACTTCCCTCAGGTGATTGGCTCAGCCACTAGCTGCAATGGGCAACCAACGCCTTAGTTGGTGGTTGGATTGGTGGTTTGGTGCTTTGTGCCCCCTATTCTTGCAGAGGGTGAATGGGAAACCACCTCTAACCACCTAACCACCGGGCTCCCTACCACCAACTAAGCTGATCTAGGCGTAAAATTGCAACTGGCTGGATGTAGCCCACGATTGTTAGTGCCCTCAAGGAATTCGGAAGGGATTCGGAAGGGAAGGGATTAGTATTTAACTCTACCTTGGGCCACAACGATAGACCCCCTTTTAGGGATTCCTCTTAGAGATCCCCTTCTTTTAACTCCACCTTGGGGTACCGAGCACAACATTGACTTTTGCTCCCAGAAAAAGGACAAAAAGTAGTAATTGTATCGACCTGACTGTCGGGGGTGGAGGTCTCAGATAATAAAGTGTGTCCTGTGGTTGGACGAAATCCTGCACCACCTAAGAACCCTGAAATGATGATTTCCCTGCAAATACACAAACATTGTTGAATTTCGCAGGGCAGTTTTATCCGTGTGAACTCATATTTTTTCATGTGCAGGTCGGAGTTCAGCTCCCCGCGTTGAACCCAAGACCTCGTAAGACGTGGTGCTCAGCAGGGAGTGCAGGAATGAACTCACTTGGGACTCGTTCCCTGAGACCCAGCAAGAAAAAACCATCCCACTTCTCAAGCGCCAAGAGGAAACCTCTCCCCCCTCGCTCTCCCCCACCAGCCATTCCCGCCCCTCCCACCAGCCATTCCAATCCGCCCCATTCCCGCCAGCCCCTGAGAGGAGACCGAAAAGATTTTCTCGGAGGGCGCCCCCGCCGGCGGAGATGTGCAACTCTCCTACGCCCCTCGGCCTCGGCGTCGGAGGCGAGGAGTTTTTTGTTCCTCGGGTGGACCTCGACCTTTCGGGGTTTTCGGGTGAGCGGAAAAAAAAAAAAACACGGGGGAGCTTTTGGGTGGGGTCTGGTTGGTGTGTTGTTGGGTTTTCGCGTTGTTGCTTGGTTTGCTGCTTGCGGTTGGTTGCTTTGTTGTGTTTGGTGTGTTTTGGTTGCTAGATTTGTTCAAACCACCTTGCCTCCGAAAACCAAGAGACAAGGGTTAACGGGACAACCAGGGCCCTTGGTTTGCCACCCCCCAAAAGATCAAACCACCCCCCAAAAGATCCCGAGTTGTGAGGTTAAGCCTTCAAGAATTAGTCGTGCCCCTGATTTGAAGTTGTGGCATTTCTTCGCGTTGGCTGGTTCCGGAGCGTTGCCCACAACTATCTTAGCCGAACAGAGACCTAGCCTCACACCCGGCGAAAGGTTTCCGACACTGGCTCCCCAAACGCATCATCCCCAATCCTGCCTACATCAATCCTAAAAGCAACACAAAGTAAGAACCAAGCCCCACGAAATCTGGCGAAACATAGCCCTCAAAGTCATCACCGTTAAGTTCGCCTGAATTGTGTCACACACCACAACCCAGAAACCAACCTACCAAGACAGGACCGACCCAAGCCCCAGACTGAACTGCGCCATGATCCTGAATTCGAAAGAACACCCTACCAAACTTCTCCTGGTAGTACACATCCGGTGGATGCCAACTCCTATGCTGCGTGTGTATATATATATATAAGTAAACAAACGATACTTACCCTGGTAAATCCAGGGTAACGTATTGGGTTGCCAAAAATAATGGTGGACTTTTGCTACCATGGATGTTCTGGTGTTGATTCCGCGTTCCCTTTAAGCCTTTGCATTTGGCAGCTGTATGGATTCGTTTTCTTACGGAATGATTCATGATGTCCCGGCCAGGGCTGGGCGACCTTTCTTGGGTTTGCCCTGGGTTAAAGGAGTGGGTCGCTTCCCAAGCTGCTGAATGACTTCCATTTGCTGAAATGAATATTTTTTGTATGTTCCCTTATTGGTTTTAAAGGGTTTTTTTCACTACTGGAAATATGTGTTTTTTGTTCCAGGGGTCGTAACCAACTGGAAGCCTAGGCTAAAGGAGTGGGTCGTTTCCCAAGCTGCTGAATGATGTGTCCATGGGTCAAAATCCAAACCGTACCCCCAGTGAACATCCCAATCCAACCACTAAAATAGGAAGCCTCAAATGGGTGGTGAACTCACCCACCAGCCAAAATGGTACCATTGGTTTTGACCCACAGCCATGTGTATGAGGAGAATTCGTGTGTGTGGTTTGCCCACAAAGCCCTTGTGACTCTGAAGGTTTGGACGATTGAAGGTATGGGCACCGGAAGCGGACGCGGGAGTAAGAGACTTTTCGGTTTTCTGCGGAGCAAAGAAAGCAGATTCCAAGATTGCCACCCCAGGACCCACATCCTGTAATCTGGTGGATGGTGTTTGGTTTGTGGCCACCCAAACCTCCAGTCGTACTTTTTTTCCCCATGTTTTCCTCTTTTGTTGGAGAGGAACAACCTTAGTCATCAACTAGCAAAAAGAGTGCCCTCTTAAATATCTCTTAGACCTCCAATCGTTCCTTTCATACAAACCAGCTACAGGAAATTCTACAGGAAACTTGGCAAATTCCCACCAAAATCAGTCGAACTTCCTGTAGTTGGTTTCTTAGATCCTTTCATTTGTGTTTGGAAGGGGGTTCCGGCCAAGGTTTGTCCCATGGAAATCCGCTGTTTGGGGTTTCTGCGGCCCGAGGACCCGATGCTGTGCGCGGCGCAGGATGCCAAAATTCCGTGCCCGGTGAAGGTGCTCTACACGGGGAAGACCTTGTACAAGGGAGAGCACTCAGGACTCACCGGAAAGTTTGTTCATTTGCTTAAGGACCCCTCTGGGTTGTGAACAACAATCCAAGTTTGTTTTTTGTTCTCGGACATGGGGATTGATCAAACGCCGACAAACATGGGATTGGGGGAAACCGCTCAAAAGATTTGTTTTCTCCCACTAAATGGAGGCCGGGAATACTGATCAACCCCCAAATCGTCCAATTGCTTAAGGACCCCAACTTGGCTTGTGAAAAAAAAAAAAAACATTCCAAGTTTGTTTATCCAAAACTCACTTCGTCCCAGCCTGGGTTTGCAACCGCGCAAATTCTGTCCTTTGCTTGAGAAGATGTGAAGGGAACCTATCGCTGCTGGTAATAGTTGGACGACTTGGGTGTGCCGAGCCAAATTGTGGACCCCTTCGAACGGGGGGTTATGTCAAGCGTCGTGTTCTTGGGACTTGGTACCACTGGTGGGGGAAAAAAGGCAGAAAGGAGCAGCACCCTTGATTTGCCTGCGTGTTCTCTTTGAGTTGCTGGCAAGGGGTTAAAAAGGTAAACCAAGCAGGACACTTCGGGAGTGTCTGTGAGTTTTTGACAACTCAGGACCTGAATGTAAGATGGCGTCCCCCGAAACCGCTAGGAAATCCGAGCATGATCTCCCGTGCAAGGATTGCACTGTTTGATCCACAGAAAGCAGCCTCCAAATCAAGAGGACAAAGGGGTGCTCGCAAGACAGACATGTCTTCACTTACCTTGCCAACACATCATTCATCCCAGAGAATAGGAGAGCTCCGAAAAAAGAAAAAAAACAGGCGGTCTGCTTCTGGTTTCCCTATGTTTCCCTTTGTAAAAGACCCGCGAAAGCGAAAAGGCACCCGCAACACGCACACGTTTGGGAGAGAGACTGACATCGAAACTGCGGTCTGGGAGGCTGCCTTGAAGGGAGACCAAAGGAAAGCCATGCGGCTGTGGTTCTCAAAAAGCCGGAATTCCAAAATGGGTTGAACCCTGGTAAGTGGAAACAAGTACCAAAACCTGCGGTGTGCCCCTCCTGGTCAATTTTGAGCCACACCCATGCGTTGTGAGGGGGGGGTGGTTGCCTCAAAAAATGACTCACTCCCCGAGTTCATGGACTTTTTTCTGTTTAGCATTCTGACCGTTCTCCCAGAGGGTCCCTTGGATGCCTGGATGAACGAAGGGGCCGAAATGGGCGATGAATTGCCCGAGCCGATATGTTCTCAACACCCCAAGAGGAAGCTCAGCTTCCATTGTGATGCTGAAGCCTCCTAAAGCAATGGACTAGCTGCCCCCGTAGTGCCCGTTTACCCTTTTTTGGGGGAGGGTTCCTCTACCAAAAAACACTACCGAAGAAGGGTACCCTTATTCTAACCTCTCTACTGGAGGACCTAGCTTAAGCTTCCTTAAACAACGGACATTGGATCCCTGAAGTTCTGGAACCTCAGCAGCGCATCCTCTTCTTGATGCTGCTCAGTAGGGAATGACCGTTCCGAATGTTGGGAATGCACTTTTTCGGACGGGCAGTCCCTACGAAACCACAAGGGATTGCCGTGGGGTCATTCCCTGCTGAGATTCTCAGCAAGTCTCTCTGCAACTTTCTTTTGAAGCCCCCTGAAGCGGCCAAAACATGTCTTTGCCTTGTGCCATGGTAGGGCTTGGTTCCTTTTCCATTCTTTTCAACCATCGCTTCTTGCCAGAATCCGGAGCCGTTTGCAACCTGGGTTTCAAAGGAGGTTTTCTAGAAAGAATGGGGAAGGTACCCTAGGATGGTAGATTTTCCTTCGCCAGGATACAACCGGAAGGTGCTGTCAAAGACGGGAGTGTCACTGGAGCAGCTTCCGGCGTCCAGCCCCACCATTGTGCCGCTCGGAAGTTCAATGAGTAACGATCCCCTGGGATTCGAACCGGCCTCAAAGCACAGGGGGTTTGTACAAATAATTACCTCCCACCGACTAATGAAAGTGCACAGACACCCGCAGGCAAGACTACTTTCCTGTTGGAAAGGGGCTTTGTACACTTCCATGTTAGTTGGTGGGAGGGTATCGTTGACCTAAGGATTGTCATCATCTAATTTGGGTCAACCGTTCTGTTAACGCTGGTTGAACTCTAGGGAATCACTTAGTGCTGGGCCTAAGTTTGGGACCATTAGAGTCATCGTTGCAATTGACTAAACCTATGAACAAAGATAATATTTAGGTCATAGGTTTAGGATACGCTCACCAAGAGCACGCCCCAATTGACAACTGTGGATGTCTCACCCATTTCCTGGTTGAACTCTGCACATGTGCCTGTTGGTTGGGTGTGCAAACTGCACTGTAAATTTCCATGGGGCATAACCTATGGATTTCTCCATTTTGGGGTGGAACATCCATTTGCCACCGATTTTGATGTTCACGGGTACAGTTTGACGAGCCAAATGATGGCTTTCGAGCCATCCTAAGGGGAGCCATAGGGGCATGGCCCTGACTCCTTGGCTCCCAATCGCCAATAGCCACTCTAAGACTACAATGGCCCCTTGCGATGGCAGCAAGAAAATCAAGGACACATGTGGGATCGAGTTTTAACAATCATCCGATGGCACTCAAGGGAGTCGGCGTTGCTTTGACCATTTAGTGAGTGAGAGGGGTCCTTCTGATCTAAGCCGCAAACGATAGTTTCCTGTCAATTCCAGGAAGGTCGCTGTAAGACCTCCAAAGAGGGGTCCCTTTGAACCATTCAAAAGCGAGTTGTTTGAAACCATCCAACCAAGGTGTCCCTTTTAATCCCTTTTAAAATATCAGCAATTGGAGGGTTTTTTGTTTTTGAAACCATTCAAAGGGAGGTGTCCCGTTTATCAAACAAATGGAGGGGGGCCAATTTTTCGTCATATAGTAAGCAATCGGTAGTCGGAAAACCATGCGGGCACGGATGAAGACCAGGTGCCATCAAGCGGTCCGTGAAGCATAGTGGTTCACTTTTTAGACAGGGTTCTCTATATGGCTGTGGTTCTCAAAAAGCCGGAATTCCAAAATGGCTTGAGCCCTGGTATGTGGAAACATGGGTACCAAAACCTGCGTAATGCCCCTCCTGGTTAATTTTGAGCCTCACCCATATGCTCCCCTTTTAGTGGGGCGATGCTTAAACTGGAGATAGAGGGAGCCTATGGAAGGTATAGCCAATCCGAAGCACCACATGGCCTTGCCAAATCAGGTACTAAGGATAGGTGTAGATCTGGAGGCCCATTCAAACGGATTCACGGCGACGTGTATATATGTATATAATTTTGTAGACCAACCGACATACATGCATGTACATGCGCATACACACAGATACCTATATATATATATATATATCTGAGTTCATATATATATATATATACATACAGCATGCATGGATGCACATACACACATCTACACATACACACATCTACACATGTACACATACAAACATAGACACACACACACACACAGAGACACACACACACACAAACACGCATGCACACATACACACATGCATACATGCGTACGTGCGTACGTAAGCGCATGCATGCATGCATGCATGCATGCATACATACAGTTCTACCTACATACATACATACATACATACATAGATACATACATACATACATACATGCATACATACATACATACATACATACATACATACAGTTTTACCTACCTGCATACATGCATACATACATACATACATGCAGACATACATACATACATACATACATACATGCACACGCACACACATACATACATACATACATACATACATACATACATACATACATACATACATACATACATACATACATACATACATACATACATACATACATACAGACACACATACATGCATACATACATACATTCATGCATACATACATACATACATACATACATACATATAGATACATACATACATACATACATACATACATACATACATACATACATACATACATACATACATACATACATACATACATACATACACATACATACATACATACATACATACATACATACATACATACATACATACATACATACATACATACATACATACATACATACATACATACATACATACATACATACATACATACATACATACATACATACATACATACATACATACATACATACATACATACATACATACATGCATACATACATACATACATACATACATACATCATACATGCATGCATACATACATGCATGCATGCATGCATACATGCATACCTGCATACCTGCATACATGCATACATGCCTACATGCATACATGCATACATGCATACATATGCATGCGTGCATGCGTTCATGCACACATGCGCACGTACAGACATACACATACAGACACAGACCTACTTACATACCTGCATACACACGTATGAGCGTACGTACATATGTACGCACGTGCATACGGACACACGCATGTACATACGACAAACGTTGATAGCGCACATATGTCACAAACGTACATAGTACATGCAAAATACGAATGTACTTACATACATACTTTTGTACTGTACATGCTTGCCTATCCACGTACCTATTTGCTACCTGCCTACTTGCACCAGACAGGTTTATCTATCCTGTCCCAATCTTTCCCGCCATTTTGTTTTTTGCTTTCCTTGACCTTTTTGGACCCGTCCGCTTCCGCCATATGTTGTACCCATCTCGTTCATCCCTCTGTTGCTTTTATTTTGTTTTTCTGCTCAGGTCTTTTCTGTTCACTCTGTTTGTGCCCGCGGTTTTTTTACTCGTTCTTTCTTGCCCTGCTGTTGTGTAAGACGTCCCTATCCTCCTTGGGTGTCTTGATGCCTCCGGTTTGCGACGTGTTGAGATCCATAGGCCCCTGATCGAGATCCACATGGATGTGGAGAAAACGGTGCAGCTGGTGCAACGAGGCGATGTGGAAAGATCACGTCAACTTCTGGGGATGGCCATCTTACTACACAGGGCTCCTTAAAAGATACATTTTGCCATTTGACACATGGCTTTTTCCACCAAAATAAAGGGAAACCACCATTTGCAAGGCAATGTTCAGGTGTATAATGTAAGGATCCCTGCTACAAGCAGATTGAAACTCTCCCAGTTGTTTAAGAATATCTGTTGTGTTTGCCAGGGGGCTTAACCAAGCAGATTGAAGCACGGGTGTTAGTCGTTTCCCTAGTGGCGTCCCACTACAAACACGGATTAGGGATCCCTTGACCAAGTCAGAAAGGGATGATGTCGACTTTGGCTGCTGGGGACAGCCACATTACCACGAACAGACTCACACGTGAGCCAGTTGAGGTGTCCAAGCACCAGAGAATCATTGCCTTTGCGGATTTTCATGAAAGCCATGCTCGGAGGAATCCGCTAAAACTATTTGATGTATGTGCGACGTGGGGCAACCTGTTATTGGCATGGTTCCCCATGATCCTGTAACGAGCGGTCCCTGAAGCAATGATGCTAAAGAGTCTGTGGTTTTCCTAAAGGGGCATTTTTCTTGGTAATCGGCTAAGCCTGTTTACAACCCACATCTTGTTATGAGTCTTCTTGGGCTACAACCCGGCCTAACCGCTTCCGAAGTACAATGACCCTTTGAGCAAGAATCTCAAACGGCTCATTCCCAACGCCCCGAGATTGATTCTTTACTTAGGTATGTTCGATTCGCCAAGTTAGTATTATGTCTTTGGTAACATAAGTTATAACCGGCTTACAACTCCCCCAAAGTGGTGTTAACTTGTTATTGCTGGGTTATGACCCAGGTGGCTGACCACTTCCTAACTCGGCAACAAACATCCACAGCAAGAAGTGTTGTTGTTGCCTGGTTGGCTTCCTGGCTTCCTGGTTTCCCCGGTCTTCGAAGAGGATTGCACGATTTGAAGACGTAGGTGATGGGAAAATCGACTGGACAAACCAAGTGGCCGGCAAATGACAGGCAGAAACGTAATCGTCACAATGGGGGAGAGTTCGATTGATAGGCCACAATTTGTAATCTACCCTAAACTCACTCCCTGAGTTCCTGGACTTTATATTTTTTTAGGAACACCATTTTAGTGGCAAATAGAAAGGTAACTTGTTTTTTTTGCGGAACAGTGTGGTCTTTTCTGCAACGCTCCGAACGAAGAACATGTCTGTATGTTGATTGGGAGAACATGTCTGTATGTTGATTGCTTCTTGGTTCGTGCTTTCGCCGTTTGCCCTATTGGGAAATGGCTTGCCACGTCCAGCAACAGGTTTGGCTTTTGCTTGGGGTCGGTTCAACCAACCCAGGTGTGATTGGGTGTAACATGACCAATCAATGTGCTGTTGGGTTTAGTTTGATGCCCCTGTTTGGGAAAGAACAACTCCCTTGTGTGTGTGCAGGGAACCCGTCGAATTGAATATGAGGGTTTCTACAATCGAGTTTCCACTTCATGGAGTAAAAATCAATCCCAACAGCGGAGACCGTCCCCAAAACTATTTTAGAGTGGACTGACCATCCCACAAACAGGAAAGTAAGAGGGGCCCATTTACCCATAAGAAACCCGACACGCCTGGGACCTTTCTCACCAAAACCGTCACCTCTGCCATGTCTTTTCCCCATCGGGCCAAGTTTGGGCGCCAGGTCAGCCCAAGTGGTGGCCCGGGAACTCAGCGGTTGGCTGGGGTGGTTTCGAGGCAAAGCATCGACGCTGCGTGCCCTTGTTTTTCCGACTTTTTGTCAGGGGTGTTTTTGTTGTTGGTGTCCCCCTCACATTGCCCCAAGTGACGTTTGAATTGAAGAGGGAAATCTGGCGTGTCGTTTTTGGAGGCCCTTGAAGGTTGGTTTGAAGGGAGAGCAAGAGGAAAACCGTCAGTTTTGGGAGTTTTTCAACACAAGACACACCCATATTCGGGTGTGACTTCAAAAAAGAACAGACAGAGCCAGGATACGGTCCACAGGTTGGAGCTTCCATTTTGGGCCGATTCCTATTTGGAGCCATGCCCATCTAGGATTTTTGGCATTGATGATTTCGAATCGAATTGAATACACTGCTGAAAAAAAATCCCCAGAGGAACAAACAACGCATATGGAAGAACAGGGTTGCTCACCGTTTATTGGCGGATGGTTGAGCTAAGTCCGGATAGTAACCCTTCACATGCTTCGCGCGAAAGGTACGGTGGATGCCAAGGAGGACTTGTGGTATGAACAAGAGAATCGATGTGGAAGGTCACAAGCCCGTACCCCAGTGAACATCCCAATCCCCACTAAAATAGACTAAAATGGGTGGTGCACCTACCCCCAAATGGTACTATTGGTTTTGACCCACAGCCATATGTTCTCCTGTGGCTTTTGTTGTGATATACTTGGAAAATGCTCCTGTGGCATCCGCCATACCTGAAGTCTTCGCCTTTCGGGGCAATGGACTTATAGAGACTCCAAGTAGGGAGCCACACGGGACCAACAAACACATGTTGTTTTCTCGGCTGGCAAGAAACAAGCACGGGTAGCAGGTGTCTTTCCTGTCAAGCCTTTTTACCCCCCGAGAGAGACTGGAATAGATGGACTTACCTCTTAAGTTAAGTTGGCTGTGTGTTTCAACTTTCAGTTCGCAGGTGTCCTCATTCTTGCCAACCTGGACCCCAAAGGACCTCTTTTTTCTGCCTTTGACCCCAAAAAAAAGGGTACAAAGGCAGAAATAAGGGGTTCTTTGGGGGTCCAGGAAGGCCCCAAACGTTTTTTCACGGTTCCGCGATGCGGTGGCTTACCTGTTGAGTTAGCTCGCCAAGGCCCAAAAGGTTTGAGAACATGTTCCGGCCAAACGGCGTCACAGCTGGTTTTGTTCACGGTTCTGACAGTTCAGTTCCGAGCAAAGTTGATCTTAGCGGCTTCGGATGGGTGAGGTTGTGCAAATTTTCCCTATGTTTCGATTTGAGTTGGCATTTGGTTGGTTTGGTTGGTCGCTCCCAGTACGGCATCATTCGGACCGGTTGAGCTCAGATCTCTCACACAAAGATTCGCACAGACAAGCGAGCATTTCGGAAGGTATTTGATTGGGTCAAGCTGACCAGAAAGACATTGGCATTTCCAAACATAGGGACACCCTTTTAATCAGGAAACCAGACATTTGTTGGGGCCCCTTGAGACACCCCACCACTCCTTGCAGCGTTTGGTTGGAAAGGCCCAGCACCGAGCGGACGCTGCGGGAGGTTCTGCAGTGCAATGTGCCTTGGATTGCGGTGTATCTGGGTTCCCTATGTTGTTCTCTTTTTTACACCCCCAAAACGGTACCCTCAAAAACACAAGCGGACTAATAAGCCCCGGACTAACAACCCCTGGTTGATTTTGATTGGGGAGTGTTTATTTTGATGGGGATTCAGACCACCTTTAGCGTGAACATCCCCCCAGCAGGACGGCTTTTTCATCTACGTAGGGTCAACATTAAGTATCCAAACCAGCACTGCTTGGAACAATTTAAGGGGCTTCCGTAGATTGCGGGAGGTCCTCGTCATTCACGGGGTATGCTCCGCTTCAATCACTTGGCGGCTTTTCAGTTGCCGCATTTCTCGGGGAGGGGGGCGGGGGAGGGGGGCGAATCGGGGTCCATAAAGATGGTTGCAGTCGCCTAGGTGTATGTTTGAACCTGTTGATTGTCATGTTGTTTTGCCATCTCGTTGGAGAATGATGCTTTTCGCATTTCGGTAGTGTGGTGGACATCATTGTTCACTCCCCTTCATGATTATCTTGTTTGCTCAAGAAATGGTCGCGTCGCGTACTACCGCTAAATTATGGCTAATATTGAATATGATGTGTGTGTGTGTGTGTCCAATGAGGGGGACCCCACAGTAGCCTTCTGGTTTCTCTGTAGAGCCAAAAGGAGCAGCGTGGGATCACAAACACAAACGGGGAAGAGCAAGGTGCAGAAGCCCACGGAGAAAAACTATCCCTTGTGGTTTCCTTTTATTCGGGAATCCCCCCAAAACGGGTCCATTCCCACCACCCGAACTCGGACAGTCCTCGCGTATTGCAGGGATCGCAGGCTTGGGGGGGATCCGATTCCTCAACTCGCTTCCGGAGGAGTTCCGCGAACTTTTCGGGTTTGGATCATTTCGGTACACGAAAAGTTCACGGCTACCTTTTTTGGATGTCCAATCCACTCGATCGGAAGTGAGTCAAAAAACGTTCCACAAATCTGGCCATGGGTCAAAATCCAAATCGTACCCCTAGTGAACATCCCAATCCAACCACTAAGACAGGAAGCCTTATATGGGTGGTGAATTCACCTACCAACCAAAATGGCATCCCAAAACGGTTTTGACCACCACAACCATCTGATCCCCTTAGCTTTTTGGCCCTTTAGTCTTCAGTGGTAGTTTCCATATGTCCCACTAAAAGTTCGTCACGCTCCCGGATCAAAACTTGGGCCACTACGAACTCCGAGGAGCAGAGCTACTGGTCGGAGCACCGAGCGGACTGCAGGGCCCTGGGCATCGAGCAGCTCCCGGTCTTTCCCTTCACCGTGGACCTGGAGGACCGGATCGGATCGGATCGGAGAGTTGGCTGTGGTTCCAACCAATGGGATCCCATTTCGGGCTAGGTGAATTCACCACCCATTTTCATCTAGTTTAGTGGTTGGATTGGGATGTTCACTGGGGGTACGATTTGGATTTTGACCCATAGCCAGTTCGGCGAAAGAATCGAGCATGTCCGTTCCCGACTGTAGTTTTTCATGGTCGTTGGGACACATTTTAGTCCCATTTTGGCTTACTGTGGTTTAGTGGTTGAAATCCAACCACTGAACTGCTAAGATTTAAATCTTTGCTCCCCTTCCAAAGTCAACCAAGGTTTGGGTCTGGACCATTTGAGTGGCAAAGAACAAGTTGGGACTTAAGATCTGGCCAAACCAGGTCTTCACATGGCCATGGGGCATAACCTAGGGCTGCATTTTGGGTGGAACATCCATTTGCCCCCTAGTTTGATCTTCACAGATCCTTGGGGTTCATCAAGCCATCATAAAAGGCAAGGGGGGTTGTGAAACGGTGCCGTTGAAATACTGGTTGGGTTCATATTTCACCAGCTGTTGTTTTGCTCAGGTTTGTCGTCTAAATTGGGGCCCCCGCTCCCGGCCACTCTTAAGGGAGTCGGTTCAAGCTATGGCCCTATGGCCCATCCCTGCTGACATCGCTCCCGTCGGGGTAAAAGGTAGCCGGTGACAAGACAACTAAGAGGAACCTTTTTCTCTGGCGTATTACTCAGGCCGAGTTTCTTGCGGCTTTTCTTCCCAGGTGGCCGAACACAGTCGGGAGCTTGAACCTTGAGGGGGCTTCCGGTGGCACCGGAAGTTGGATGAACCACTTAACACGTCTTTCTTTGGGGTGGTGAGGGGTGATGTGAATTGGGGTGCCCGTTTTGAGTGGTCCCAAGACTCCATGGCTATTTGGTTTGGGTTGGATCTTTGGACAGTTTGGGAAGCAGCTGGGTTGCTCCCAATTGGACCAAACAACAGTTCGTCGTTTTGCAGAGAGGGCGGGCGTTACAGCAACCAGAAAAAGGTCATGACCCCTCCAGTGCACACCTTTGGACCCTCCCATGGAGAACCCCGACCAATTCCTGAGGGGCCCTTGAAAACAACCAGTTTTGAAGGCCCAAAAACAATCGAGACCCTTAGGCGCCTTTTATTTGTAGGTCGCAGGTAGGATATGCAGGTTTCGCAGGTTTCGCAGGTTTAGCCCTGGCTTCGATGTTTTTGTCGCAGGAAGCCATGGGCGATGTGACCTCTGCCAGAGACAAGTCCATGACGCTTCAGCCCTTTGGACGCGGATTTTTTGGCGAAAAGGAGTTCATTTACCAAGGCAGCGACAAGTCACCCAGTGGATCCATTTACCTCCCTGGACCCCCAAAGGACCCCTTATTTCTGCCTTTGTACCCCTTTTTTTGGGGGTCAAAGGCAGAAAAAAAGAATCGGTCCTTTGGGGGTCCAGGTCCATAGGTAAATACAACCTACAGATGTTTTGGTTCACAAAAAGGTAGCTGGTTGCCTACTAGAAGGGTAGCTGGGATCCGACGGGTCAGATATCCCTGAGTTGGAAGTTTGCATTGATTTTGATCGGAGGGGTCCCCTTTATATAAGAGGGAAACACCCCATTAGGACAGATTTCATTGAGGGGGGGGTTCCCCTTTGAGAGGGAAACACCCCCATTAGGACGGCTTTTATTCTGGGGTCAGCTTTGAGCTTCCATACTTCCCCGGCGTCCAATGCTTCACCACACCAATTCGGGAGGTCCTTGGGGGGAGGTTCCCTTTTGTCCAATTGGGGAATTGTGGTGATTTGCCCAGGGGCCCCGTTCTTAGCCAAAGAGTTATGAAGAGTCCCGTGGCCACTAGTCTCTTGAGCCTTTTCCTGAGCATCAGCTCTTGGTAAAAGCCCGAAATCGGCTACTTGGGCTTTCAGTGAAGTTAGCGAGTTGTGGTGTTTATCCAAATCTAGCCCCTCAACTTGGTTCGTGAGTTACACTTACTGACTTGGTCGAACATCCAAGTACAATAGGTGATAAGTTGCGATCGAGCTGTTGCTCGCTCTGGTGGCTTAGAGAGAACCGTTTCATTTTCCAGTTTGACGTCTCTACGAATCTTCATGGTGAACGCCCTGGCAATTGGTTGGTGGACATGCGTCTCCCGAAATTTCGAGGTCCACCTCAGGGCCCCCGAATCGAAACTCATACTACAAGTGACCCCCTGTCTGAGCGGGCTGGTGATGTTATTCGACGTGGAGAAAGGGACCTTGTTTCTGTTGACTCAAAACCTGCTGTTGGGTCCATCAACCGCATGGGAAAGCAGGAGTCGAGAAACAGATTTGGGGTTAACATAACAGGGAGGCCACTACTTGGCTCTCATTTGCGGTACCCCGAAAATACGTTTTGAGGTTCTGTTTAATCTGCAGTCTGCCTTACAATATGTCAAATCGGTTCAGAGGAGACCCCAAACTGCGCAGCATGGATGTCACTGAATTGGTGTTTTGGATCGGTGCAGTGGTGGGATTCGAACCCCGGGTTCTTCTTGTACACGGCCTGCGCCAGCCTTTAGAGGGCAAAAGAGCGCGCTCTGTTCCGAGGCCCGGCACCATCTACACCATTGACGTGTCGATCGCAGTGATGCCGCAGTACTTGAAGGATGCCGCGGGCTCTCGTGGTTTTGCGGCTTCACGGAAGATGACCTGGGGGTTTGGTCAGGGCCGCCTGTTTGGTGGTTTCCACTTCAAGCTTGTTTCCCCCTAATGTTGACCCCATATTAGTCAACCCTAGGGGTGTTCCAATATAAAGTAATGATTCCCCACTACACCTAGGGACACCCAGCGTTGATTAATATGGGGTCAACATCAGGCCCAACCCCCAGTTCAAGATGCGTTGGCAGGTTACCATGGTATTGACAGGTCGACATCCCATACGTGTGTCATCTCTCGGTTTCATTGGGAAAATATTCGAAATGGGGGCAACCCCTACAATGGGGATATTCCTTTGATTTCCCTTCAAAGCAACCTTCAGGTAGCCTCAAGAATGCACATCCACGTAACGCATAATTTGTCTTGGTACGTTCTAAGGTTGGGTCCGCATCCTGAGAAGGTACTTGGGCCCATAGAAGACATTTGACGCAAAAGAGGGCTCCACTGTTCTTCCTTTTGGGGGTTTCTTTGTCGAATCTCCTTAGCCTTCCGTGGAACACGTGTGGCCCAAGTGCAGGTTTAGTCTTGGACGCCAGACTTGTACAAATGAAGCAACGCGCCTGGCATGCTGCCGCTTGTTGCGTGAACTGCGTGAGCCGGATAATATATTATCTATATATGTATATATATATATATATAAATGTAACAGTGTGTATATATATATGATGCAACATGCAACGATCAGGTGATGAAGTCCAGCGTGTCTCAAAATGGTGCTCCCTTTCCAGCGCCTGAATCCCTTCAACCGAGTCACTTCCTCTTCTTCGTGCCTTCACATGGCCATGGGTCAAATCCCACCCCCAGTGAACATCCCAATCCAACCACTAAAATAGGTTCTAAAATGGGTGGTGACCTACCAACCAAAATGGCCCCGCAAGACCATGCCTCGGACCTGCGAACCACCCACAGCCAACCAAGCACCAGCGCGGGGCAGGAGGGCCTCGCACACCCCCATTCCTTGCCTTCGGGCTGCAAACTGGATGGCATGTGTTTGATTTGTTTGGTTTGGTTTAGTTCATGCTGTCTGCAGTTTGGACAAAACCGACATGTCGAAATCGTCCAAGACACAAGTACCCTCCCCGAGGCGATTCCATAGAAGCTCCCAGAACCCCGAAATGGAAGACTTGATTCCATTTATGGCCTTCTGGGAGCTTCCGGCAGTTAGCCTGAGGGAGTGTAACCAGAAGTGCGCTTCTCATGTCCGAAACCTTGTGTGTTTGCTGTCAGGTGGCCTCAGGCTGTTGCTGTTTAAGGGAAGCTGGCGCACACTCAATGCATGCTTATTACGGTAGACAAGTCAGCCCGCACACACACGAGACATGTGGTCCATGTGGTACACATGTGCTCTTGATGTAACTACTAGAACCATGCTGGCAATATAGGAGCCTATACTGCCTATACTCAACATATACTACTCGAATTACATGCTACACAGGTGCAAACCACTTGGAGATATACTAGAAAGAGCCAAGGGGAGCATGACGGTCTCTTGCACACAGAAGTTCGCCAAACGGATTTTGACCACGGCTCATTTGGCTGTGAGTCAAAATTAAACCACCACAGGTTTTAGTCCAGGTTTCCATTTACCAGGATTCCCATTTTGGGTACATATTTGTGACCCGCTGCCATTTGGGGTTCTCCCTTTGCAAACTAGGGTTGACATGTCGATGACGTGTTTCTTTGGAAATCAAAACACACACGCAACCCCCGCTATACCTCACCAAATACCTTCAGATAACACTTTACTTTGCCAAAAAGAGGGCCCTTAGGCCGTACCTGGATATTCGGCCGAGTTGGCATTACCCACCTCACCTGTGGTATGAATTACAACCCACCAATCACTGAATGGCTCCGCTGAGCAGCCAGTATGTGCGGATTGTAACTGAGGCTACGACCGCAACTTATCATATTGGCGAAAAAAACCGGCCTAGGCTTGAATTTTCATAAAAAGAAAGGCCTTGGGGCCCAAGTTGGACCATCCTGAAGGTTTAATGAACGAAGCCTTGGTTTCATGGCCTGCCGGAACCGGATCCAACGGCCGAGATCTTGCGTCCCGCCGCGAAGATCCTCAAACCACTCGTGTTTACTGCCTTAAGGCAGAAAGGGCCGTAGTTGCTTCCGGCGCAGAGGAACATGTGAAACATGTCGGTGTCCCATATTCTTTCGACACCTTTATATATTGGCCGTACAAGTCTTACCTGCATCTCACTCGCTTTCTACATCACTCCAATGCGCGGCATGGAACCTGTTTCAGGGGCTCACTCCCGCCTACCGCATCACATTGACGGGGTTCCTTCAAAATACATATCAACACGTGTATATAGAATCATATATTTTTACGTGTGTATACATATGGGAAATACATAAGAACCATACCTGGCAATGCCTACACTACTTTAAATATATATATATATATATGTCTCACTTCCACACCCAGAGGGTCCAAGTACCTTCTAAGGAGTTGCTTGGACCCCTTTCTACCCCCAAGCCATCCTCAGGAGGTATCAAGGTGCCCCTCTACAACATTTTTTCTGTCATCTCGGGTTGGTTCCAAGCCCCACCTTGGTCCCGCGGCGCCGCAGGACATGTGGGGCTCAGTGTCGGTGGCCACCTTCTTCGTGGAGGTGGAGTCCGTCCGAGTTTACGCCCAGGCGCGGAGCGCGGAGCAGAAGCGCCGAAGGATGCGCCGGTTTGAAGGACTACTCACTCCCTAATGTTAAGCGTGTTTTTTTGATGGTATACCACTTGCTTACTTGTCTTAAAAAGAAGTCACCAGGAAAATGACCATGTTTTAGAGTAATGTTACCCCCGGAGTAAGCAGATCCCCTGGTTGATTAATAGGGGGGGTCCCCTTTTAGTGGGGATTTAGACCACTTTTGGACGGAACACCCCCCAATAATGGGACGGGTTTATTAATCCTGGGTCAACATTAAGTTTCGGGACTCGGACTTGATCGCCATGTTTTGGGGTCGCACCATTTTTGTTGCACTACCGGACTTCTGTTTTAGGAGTCTAGTCCCGTTCCGGGCTCCCTTTTGGAAGTAAATCAAAAGTGTGGGGACGGGTTTGGGCCCGCCCTCTCAGGAAGTGAGCTGCTTAACGTCTTGCCTGCTTGGTTTTCCATGATTTTCCCTAAGCAACGCGTGACAGTTTTTGCCAGGCTGGTCATGTAAACACTTGGACGCTGTTGGGTTGGATCTTGAGCCTTGAGCTTTTGGTCGGAAACTCTTGTTTCCGAATCCACGAAGCGACAATTTCTGTGGGGAATCTTCACATAGTTCAAGTCAGTTTGTCCCCCCCCTCCCGAAGAGTTTGGGGGGTCCTTCATTGTCCTTGAGACGAAAGTTAGCACTCCGTGCAGTCCAGACATCTGAAGTGCGGAGCTTCGACAATTGGAGTCTTCCTGAGTTCTCTACCCTTAAAAAAGTGGGTCTTGGGGTTGCGAACTACAGCATGTATGCATGTATGCATATATATATATATATACTTGGGTGTTGAATCCTTCAGAACCTGTAGAAAGGAATGGCTGAATCAGCAGCGACGCGAATGACCTCTCCATGTTTTCACGGTCACAAGCCTTTGGAGCCCCGAACGAGTAGCGAGTAGCGATCGGCCCCAGCCGAGGCTGTGAAGGTGCCTGGAGTCTCCTTCTGACCCGTTAAACATGGGTCAGCAACCCCAAAATGTTGAGTAATGACCAACCATTTTGCAAGGGTCATGGAGACTCCAGGTACCTTTTTTTTGCCTGGGCCAGGAGGAACTGGGGCTGTTTCTGTCCTTTGAGACAAACCCATTTGGCTTCCATTTGCTGAAGATGTTGGGTTTTTATTCTTACCCTGGTTTTAAAGGGACTCGATTTCACTGCTGGATTTTCTCATTGCTTCCTTCGGACGAAAAAGGCAAATGGAAGTATGGCTATGAAGCTCAAGTTGGAACCTATCTAACAGTGGTTGGACATCAATCCCGAATCCCCACCGAATTGTTTGATGTCTAATTTTGGGTCCTGAATTTCCCAATCATACCGTATGTGCCTCTGGTCACAGACACTTTTACTTGGCCTTATGGTCATGAGCCTCTCGATTAGATTTTTTCTGCCACTGGTAAGGATGTCCATTTCTATGATGTGGTCATTAACCTCTCAAATAGACTTTTGGCCACTGGTAAGGATGTCCATTTCTATGATGTGGTCATTAACCTCTCAAATAGACTTTTGGCCATTTCTATGATGTGGTCATAAACCTCTCAAATGGACTTTTGGCCACTGGTAAGGATATGGTCATAGACTCTCACATGGAATTTTGGCCACTGGTAAGGATTTCTGTCTTAGGGGCTTTGTAGAGCCCTAAGCATCTCAAGTTCCGCCAAATGGCCAAAGGCTGGAGCTCCCAAACGCTCTCCGCGCTTTCAGCGCTTGAAAGCGCTTGGCGACTCCAGGCCTTAAGCTTCAAGGAGCGCAACGAGGCGCAGCTGCGCCTGAAGCTTCTCGAGCTGCAGATATAAAACGGTCCCGGGCCCGGGCTCCGGGAACCGTTTTGGGGGGCGGGGGGGGGGGGAAGGGGGGAGGGGAGTGGACTTGACTTGCGAAGCCTTGAGCGTAGATGTGTGGTTTGGGTAAAGGATGGTTTTTGCGCTGACGTGTTTCTGGTTTGGAGGTTTGATGAGTTTGATCAAGGGTCAGCGTTTGGTGGTTGGTTGTCATGGAGATAAAACCCGCTTGCCAGATGTTCCATGAAAGTTTGAAACTTCTGTGCCCCTTTTCAAGGTTTTTTAAAGGGGAACCAAAGGCAAGTTTTTAGCTTGGACATGACCCGCAAAAGCCACAGAAAAGTGGTTGTTTGAGTTGGCCTGTCTGGTGTTTGAGTTGGTCTTTTTCGGATACCCTTTCGAAGAACCCACAAACCCACAAAGCGGGCAGAAACCCGCGAACCCTGTCCTTTTTTGTTCTTGGGCTAATGTTGGGGATTGGACATGGTTTTGCATTGCGGGCGCAATCAGTGTCATTGGTTGGCGGGCAAACACCGTTACACCGTTACACCGTTACACCGCTTTTGTTGCGCGTGAAAGGTAAACACCGTTTACACCGGTGACACCGTTTACACCGGTTACACAAGTCGCTCGGACAGAGCCCTTGCTCATGAAGGTGTTCGTACAAAAGTTACACTGGTTACACCGTTTACACCGTTTACACCAGTTACACCGTTTACACCGTTTACACCGTTTACACCGTTTACACCGGTTACACCGTTTACACCGGTTACACCGGTTACACCGTTTTACACCGTTTTACACCGTTATACACTGTTTACATCGGTTATGCAAGCTACACCCAAAACGTCGGGCACACCGACTACGCTGTCACACAGACTCCATCGGGTACAGTTACAGCGATTACACTGACTTCAGTTCATGCTGCTTCGTACGACCAAAGTCACGAGGTGCTGGATGCAGCAGCGCGCTTGATGGGAGCACGGGCGAAGCTTTCTTGCGTGGTGCAAGTTGGTGCAACTTACACAGAAGGTCTCGGTGTCAGGGTGTCTCTACGGGTGCCTTCTTGACGTGGGCTCGGACATTTTTTGGGGGCCTACCAAAAAACATGATTTTTGGTGGGTCTCAGCCTGCGCCCGTCATGCTGCTTTGTACGACCAAAGTCACGACACGGCCGCACGCCTTCCGATTCGTTTCGTGACGTGGTGTGCTGCTGCGGGACAGGCAGCAGTTTTGCAAGATTCACATTGCGCAAGCATCGTGCTGACTGCGGCCGCTGCTGTAGCTCAATGTCATAAGACGCATGTTGTGCGGTCTGAGCCTCGCTCGCCGCTGCATGCTTATAATCGAGCTTAAAAACAAGACCCGCAGCGAAACGCAGCGCAGCAAGTGACTTGGGCGCGCTGTAGCCATGGCAGACATGTGACATGGCAGCTGCTTCTGCATGGGATTCAGAGGACGAGGTGGGGCGGACAGGCTGGAGCGGGCATTCCGCTCTCGCATTCTGTTTGGCTGCGCTTGCTCCCTTGCTCCCTTGAAGGTCATCGGCGGCCGCTTTGGAGAGGAGCCCGCAGCGGACTCTGAGAGTGAGGCGCGCTCTGTTCTGTGTTAGTTGTTGCTGAGCGCTGGCTTGCCGCTGCGAGCTCGGCTTTCCAGCCTCCAGGTTGTAAACGTTGGCCGCGGCGCTGGAGCCCGGCCCGCAGGTCCAGCGCAGGCCGCGAAGATGCGCCGACGGCCAGCGGCTGCGCTGCCAGCCGCTCCTGCCGAGCTTGCGCCCCCAATCGGCGAGAGACTAACGAGCAGCAAGCCTACGCTGCGTCAGTTTGCTGCCCGGCTGGCCAGCGGGCGGACGCGTGAAGTGCTGCTGGCGCTGCAGAGCTGCAACCTCTTCCGCTTTGATGCTCCGGCAGCCGTGGCCAGGCCCGCAGAGGGGGCTGTCTGCCGACCTGCACGGCGAGCCTTGCTACATCTTGGACACCTTCATGCTCAGGGGGGCTGTCATGGCAGACATTGGCCTGGTTCGCGCCCAGCGGGATGGCAGCAGGTTCACTTTAGGCAAGCTGCAGACTGTGTCAGCAGATGCTCTTAGCAATGTCCGCTTTTACTTCCACATCGTGCAAGCAAACGCGCAGCGTTTGTTGCTGGAGGTGGCCGGCACAGGCCAAGACACGCGCCCCTTGGAGGTGGCAGCGGCTTGCTTGCAGGGCCAGGCCGACGCGACCTCGCCTTTTGCTGCCGCGCCGAGGCAGGCGCAAGCGGTGCGACACATCCGGCCACAAGCGGCATCCGCTCATGCTGAAGAATGGGGACATCGCGTGGCAGTGTGGGGCAACAAGAGGTCTCAGGAGCCGCTTTGGGTTTGGGACTTGCCTTATCCTATGGCGCTAGATCGTCGGCCCTGGCGGTGTCAGACCTGCGCAAGAGAGGGCGCGGCTCGGGGTGTTCGTCAGTACTTCCCGGTCACTGCTGCAGATGTTCGACTGGCCGTCCCGGGCGCCATGCGACACAAGGCGTTTGGGCCGCGCAGCCGACGCTTCAGTTCACAAGTCCTCCCTAAACAATGAGTTTGGACTGTGTTTTGCACTTTCTCAGAGTTAGGGATGGGGCTTGGAGGGCAGTTTGTTGCCGGGATGTCATGCAGGCCAAAAAGCAGAAGGAACACTGGCTGACATCCCGCTTTCTCTTGGAGGCGTGCCTGATCTTCTACGAGAACATCAATGCCAGGCACGTAAGACGCCAGCTGGCTAGTATCTTTTCGGCAAGTGTTCTGGCGTCTGCTGCAAGCCAAGAAGCCCGCGGCGTGGCTCCTTGGACACTGGGTGTACAGTGCGCAAGCATGCCCAAGAGCCCAGCGGCTTGGTCGCCAATGCCTTTGCTGATGCACGCTTCGCCCTTGCCCCTTGCGTGCTCAAGAAAGGAATGCCAAATCTTGGGCCCCGGAAAACCACTGGGTGTCTTTTTCTAGGGAGCTCAAAATTTTGGTTTTCCTTTTTCCCTGTAAAGCTACAAAACTGGGGTACCAATTCTAAAAGAGACATGCATGACTATAGGCGTGGAGAGGCTGAAATGCGTTTATTTTATGGAAGTACTCACATCTACTATTTGGGGGCACCTGACCGTGGGTATCAAACCCGCTCGTGAGTGAACATACCTGTACGCGGTCTGAGCCTAGCTCGCCGCCGACTTATGCAAACGCAAAGCGCTTTCAGGCAGTGCGCAGCATCCTTCGCAAGGCGCTGTCCGCCCCCGTGGCTGCAATGGTGGAGACACTGCAGAAGCTGGCCTGCCTCTACAGTGCCCAAGGTGTGCGACACGATGGCCACTACAAATTAAACAAGCGAATTGTTGGAAGGCTGATGCGCTTCTGGGAAAGGCGCACGGCAGAGGCCTTACAACGCCATTTTGGCGTTCACAGGAGTGGACGGGGCTTTGCTGGCAGTGCCGGAAGCAACCGATGGCGAGGGCTGGCGAACCCTGGAGCCCATTTTGGAAGCGTTGCTTTGGAAGATCAAAGCCACGCGCTTGGAAGCAGGGTTATCCTTGCTCCAAAGCTGCCCCACGTTCCACTGCACTGACAATTTTCGGGCGCAGCGCCTCAAACTAGAGGCCTTGTACAAGAGGCTGTGGCGGGACTGCGCTGTCGGCAGCCAGGGCAACACGAAGAAGGGCCCTGCGAAGAGGCGCCGTGTACAAGACCCTGGTGCTCTTACAGTGGTTGCAGGAGATCCAGTTCATGACCTTCTGGCCCTCCGGAGAAGGGTCTCTACCATGGCATGCGACAGCACCGATCTGACGTTTGATCATGCTGATCTGCTGAGCCGGCTGAGTGCTCCGGAGCAGCGGCCGCTCGCAGCAGTCTAACAAGTCAGATGGTTTGCTTGGCGGTTGCCGTGCTGAGCCTCGCTCACCGCAGTCATTTTCTTTCTTCACTGATTTGCATTTTTGCTCAGCGGCTCAGGCCGCCGCCTGAGTCAGGGCACGAGTCGGCTCCCACTTTGTCAGACGATGCTAGGGCCCTGCTTTGCACGTGCATTGAGAGATTGGCAAGGACAGGGGTGGCGGCCGCAAGGCTTGCGCCAGGTCTCTGCTCACAGCGCAGCGAAGCCGCGCGCACAGGCTTCATACGGGGTCTGAGCCTAGCTCGCCTCTTCTCCTGCCCGATGCTTAACCAAGGCGTGGAAGACAAAAGTGGTGGCTGTTAGCTGTTGTGTGGTGTGACGTCTTGATGCGGTGTCTTGCATGGCATCACGCCCATGGCGCTAAGCTTGCAGGTGGCTTCAAGCTCAAGGGTGCCAGGCTGGCTGCGTCGGTGAAGGAGCCTGACCCCACAAGGGCCAAGATTCGCCTTCTTCACGAAGCTGTCAATGAAGACACCTTGATGAGGGCGCTGTGGCCGGAAGACATCAGCGAAGGTTTCAGCGACGCTGATGAAATTTACAGCAGCATCACTGACACTTGAGCAGATCTTCAAAGATTGTCAAACACACAGAGAGATTGGCGAGGACACAGATTTCTCTTTGAGACACTTGATGCCGCGACAGCTCATGTCCGCCATCAACACATGCTGCATGAAGAACGGCTGGCATCCGGAATCCATGGCTTTGTGCGTGATGTCCAACATGGCCTGGTTGGAGAACCCGCGCACTAGACTGGGGACAGAGCCGAGGCCAGACGGGAAGAGTATCTTGGACCCTGCGCCGCAGCAGGAGCCAGAATGTAGCACGCCCCGCACCCAGAAGAGGAGGAGGCGTGTGTCTCACACGCCACGTCGGGATGCCGGGCCACTCGTCAGCTAGACAACAGAGGCGTGGGGCAGGCGGGGGGCATGTTGTCAGTTTGCAAAGCTAGGCTGGGGATGGGGGCAGGACCCCGTCATCACAGAGAAAGTCATGGATGCTTTGGACTCGGTCATCCAGGAGTTGGACACATCAGGGACTTTGGAGGCTACGACCTGCAAGCAGATCCGACACCTGATCGAAGCAAAGGCAGAAAT